TTTTATGTCTCCCTGTTGTCATATTTAAGTATCTCTTCTCGTTTTCACACACTCCTCACCTGCCGAGGACACACACTGCGTCCTCCGCTACATGAACGCCCTTTCATTACTTTGTGAGAGGAGAGAGGACGGCGATAAACACTGTGTGTGTATAGAATCAATATGAGGTGTTATACACAGGCTTAGAGAGTAATGGATTACATGTCACAGGATTATTAGGACACAAACAAGATACCTGTAGTCCCGTACAGTTAGATAGAGTACTGTACTTCCCATTTTAGGCTACTTTATGCTATAACGTGAGGGGAAATAACCAGACTTTTAGTCCAATTTACGACTATTTAATTTAATTTTACAGATACATAATATAATGATCTGATAGATAAGGTTTAATGCGAGGAAAGCATGTCGAAAAATCTTAAAAAGCAGGTAAATAGATCAGAGAAAGGGAGAGCGCATTATACATGGATGCATTTAATTAATAAAGAGATTGTTTTGATGTCAAATTGGGAATTACTTGTACAAGTGTCCCTGTTTTGACGTGAGTAATAGATCCACCGCTGTGACTGACTGAAATAATATCCGTGTTTATTCATCCTAATAAACACCAGTCATTATCAGGAGATGTTCCCCGGTGATGTGAAATGACAGGTGTAACAACAGGAGGAGTTTTAATGCTGACATGTTTGAGGGGTAAACTACCAAGAGAGTTCAACAGAGCCAGGGCTACTTTAAAGAGTCCTCTCCTGCTGATGTTCAGGTGTATATCAGTATTTAATGTCTCTACTTTAAAGAGTCCTCTCCTGCTGATGTTCAGGTGTATATCAGTATGTAGTGTCTCTCCTTTAAAGAGTCCTCTCCTGCTGATGTTCAGGTGTATATCAGTATGTAGTGTCTCTCCTTTAAAGAGTCCTCTCCTGCTGATGTTCAGGTGTATATCAGTATGTAGTGTCTCTACTTTAAAGAGTCCTCTCCTGCTGATGTTCAGGTGTATATCAGTGTGTAGTGTCTCTACTTTAAAGAGTCCTCTCCTGCTGATGTTCAGGTGTATATCAGTATGTAGTGTATCTACTTTAAAGAGTCCTCTCCTGCTGATGTTCAGGTGTATATTAGTATGTAGTGTCTCTACTTTAAAGAGTCCTCTCCTGCTGATGTTCAGGTGTATATCAGTATCTAGTGTCTCTACTTTAAAGAGTCCTCTCCTGCTGATGTTCAGGTGTATATCAGTATGTAGTGTTTCTACTTTAAAGAGTCCTCTCCTGCTGATGTTCAGGTGTATATCAGTATGTAGTGTCTCTACTTTAAAGAGTCCTCTCCTGCTGATGTTCAGGTGTATATCAGTATGTAGTGTCTCTACTTTAAAGAGTCCTCTCCTGCTGATGTTCAGGTGTATATCAGTATGTAGTGTCTCTACTTTAAAGAGTCCTCTCCTGCTGATGTTCAGGTGTATATCAGTATGTAGTGTCTCTACTTTAAAGAGTCCTCTCCTGCTGGTGTTCAGGTGTATATCAGTATGTAGTGTCTCTGCTTTAAAGAGTCCTCTCCTGCTGATGTTCAGGTGTATATCAGTATGTAGTGTCTCTGCTTTAAAGAGTCCTCTCCTGCTGATGTTCAGGTGTATATCAGTATGTAGTGTCTCTACTTTAAAGAGTCCTCTCCTGCTGATGTTCAGGTGTATATCAGTATGTAGTGTCTCTGCTTTAAAGAGTCCTCTCCTGCTGATGTTCAGGTGTATATCATTATGTAGTGTCTCTACTTTAAAGAGTCCTCTCCTGCTGATGTTCAGGTGTATATCAGTATGTAGTGTCTCTACTTTAAAGAGTCCTCTCCTGCTGATGTTCAGGTGTATATCAGTATGTAGTGTCTCTACTTTAAAGAGTCCTCTCCTGCTGATGTTCAGGTGTATATCAGTATTTAGTGTCTCTACTTTAAAGAGTCCTCTCCTGCTGATGTTCAGGTGTATATCAGTATGTAGTGTCTCTACTTTAAAGAGTCCTCTCCTGCTGATGTTCAGGTGTATATCAGTATGTAGTGTCTCTACTTTAAAGAGTCCTCTCCTGCTGATGTTCAGGTGTTTATCAGTATGTAGTGTCTCTATTTTAAAGAGTCCTCTCCTGCTGATGTTCAGGTGTATATCAGTATGTAGTGTCTCTACTTTAAAGAGTCCTCTCCTGCTGATGTTCAGGTGTAGATCAGTATGTAGTGTCTCTACTTTAAAGAGTCCTCTCCTGCTGATGTTCAGGTGTATATCAGTATGTAGTATCTATACTTTAAAGAGTCCTCTCCTGCTGATGTTCAGGTGTAGATCAGTATGTAGTGTCTCTACTTTAAAGAGTCCTCTCCTGCTGATGTTCAGGTGTATATCAGTATGTAGTGTCTCTACTTTAAAGAGTCCCCTCCTGCTGATGTTCAGGTGTATATCAGTATGTAGTGTCTCTACTTTAAAGAGTCCTCTCCTGCTAATGTTCAGGTGTATATCAGTATGTAGTGTCTCTACTTTAAAGAGTCCTCTCCTGCTGATGTTCAGGTGTATATCAGTATGTAGTGACTCTACTTTAAAGAGTCCTCTCCTGCTGATGTTCAGGTGTGTATCAGTATGTAGTGTATCTACTTTAAAGAGTCCTCTCCTGCTGATGTTCAGGTGTATATCAGTATGTAGTGTCTCTACTTTAAAGAGTCCTCTCCTGCTGATGTTCAGGTGTATATCAGTATGTAGTGTCTCTACTTTAAAGAGTCCTCTCCTGCTGATGTTCAGGTGTGTATCAGTATGTAGTGTCTCTACTTTAAAGAGTCCTCTCCTGCTGATGTTCAGGTGTGTATCAGTATGTAGTGTCTCTACTTTAAAGAGTCCTCTCCTGCTGGTGTTCAGGTGTATATCAGTATGTAGTGTCTCTACTTTAAAGAGTCCTCTCCTGCTGATGTTCAGGTGTGTATCAGTATGTAGTGTCTCTACTTTAAAGAGTCCTCTCCTGCTGATGTTCAGGTGTATATCAGTATGTAGTGTCTCTACTTTAAAGAGTCCTCTCCTGCTGATGTTCAGGTGTGTATCAGTATGTAGTGTCTCTACTTTAAAGAGTCCTCTCCTGCTGGTGTTCAGGTGTATATCAGTATGTAGTGTCTCTACTTTAAAGAGTCCTCTCCTGCTGGTGTTCAGGTGTGTATCAGTATGTAGTGTCTCCATGGAGGTTAAAGAAAGAGCTAATTTCTTACGGAAACTCAACATACCTTGCTATCCCACTAATATGGCTTCATAGTAAACCTCTCTGGTTTTCACTGACACTAAATCCAAAGCTAGAGTTTACAGATGTGGATCAGAACATTGGTATTAAGCTCACGGTGCAGCAGTACAGTCTGACTCTCTCTCTGAGTCTACAGCTGAAGTACTGCAGAGCTATGATGTGTTCACATGCTGCGGGATATTCCAGACTTCACTCCTCCTGCAGGATCTCTTGAAAGGCTGGTCAGATCTGCGTTGAAACACACATTTCCTCTGCCTCCTACATGGCGCCACACTGAATGTACAGCCCAAAAAACGGCACAAGTTCAAGGACAATTCGCCCGCTCGTTAATATATTAACCAACTACTTTCTCTACTTCCAGCTCTTGATCTACTGCTGCCTCCATTTCTAAACTGAGCGTCGTTCGAAGGCTCGACTGCGTGTGTGAATACGATGGAGACATCAGTGTGTGTCTGGAGGTAATTAGGCCTGATTTGTCTCCCTGCGCGGAGTCAAACACTCGGAAAGGTCACAAAAACAACAACCGCCTCCAGCCTCTAGCACACACAGTCCTGTTTGTACAAGACAAGACCATTTCCAGCGCTTTACATGCAACCAATTACCCGTGCACTGCCAGGTGCATCATTATTTGAGACGATGTGGAGGGCATGTTAGTGTTTGATACAGTGTAATCCTGATGCAATGTAACTGTTAACAAAGTGGTATCCTGGGAATGGCATGTGTGTGTTCACGGAGGGTTTTATGACACTACAGGAAGGACGTATGTGCAATTATGTGCAACATATATATATGGTGTTAATAACTGTGCAATATACATATATATATCTTCAGAACTGTTACAGGATGTGTATTTTGTAAATCGTGTAATTTGTTTAGTCGTCATGCTTCAAGCAATAAAAGAAAATATCTTAAAATACTTTATATCGATATTGTGTTTCTTTGCATATTTGCAGTGTTTCTACAAGACAAAACCACTTCCAACGAGTTAAAGGTCAGCTATCGTGCTATGTTTAGGCAATAGCATAGATCTCAGATATATAAAAATATATACACATGTGTTTTGCTCCAAACACCAAACAGATCATTCTAGCCACGCCTCATATCCCTCTATTTCACTTCCTGTTTCTAAAGTGCTGATCTGGGTATAAAGCTTTAAAGAGGAGGGTCTGAGCTCATGCGGGACCCGGCAGCTACTGTCTGAACTAAATGCTGCCGTGATGAAACGCCATATCATGGATTATCAAGGATCTGAAACAGTTTGGAGCTCAAAGGCTTTCTCTCTTGCCGGTTACACCACAAGGTGAGTTCCTTTTTACTTCCTGCTTCTTCACACACATGCTCTCCAGCACAGGTTATCTCTGAGTGTTAGCATACTAATGTAAACACCGACCATATTACGTCCAAAACAGTCGGGCATTGTTTTTGATAGCAACGTTTCTGATTGGGCCGTGGGTCCACATTTCAGATATTACGTCATAACGGACGCAAATCTGGATCAGCTCTGTTGTTCCCCGTTTTTAGAGATTTGGGTACGGAGGAAAAGAGAGAGGGTTTTATTTCCTGATGCTGCGTGAGTTCCCCGACACACCGGGGACACAGCGGGGACACACTGGAGACACACCGGGGACACAGCGGGGACACCGGGGACACACCGGGGACACATGGTGATGGAGAGAAGACATCAAAAAGTGCATTTTGCATGATAGGTCCCCTTTAAATACAATCATTATTTGTGGAGAGCATGTTAGTGTTTGTACGTACGAGAGTTGTGTGAGGTCTGAAACGTGGAGGTTCAGTTTCTCCGTGAGGCGCTCCATCAGCTCTGAACCCTGGGAAGAGGTGAGGGAGCTGGGGGGGGAAGAGAGAGCAGGGGGTCAGTGTCAGAAATATGCAACACACGGATACTGAAGTAAGTAACCCACCAATGCAACTGTAAGGGAATACAGTTTCTTTTTTGTATCCCGAGTACCCGTTACATGTCATCTGTGACAAAGAGTCGAGGGAAAAGAGATCAGCTGTTTGGTAAATCATCTGCTTTCTTTTCTAGCAATGAAACAAACAATAAGGTGCAAATGGAAAACCTGCATGAGGCGTAATGGCTGCATCGCATAGACGCTCCATGCCCTCCCTTTTCTCATCTTTCTCTTCCCTCACACACACATTGACTTTCTGTCTTTGCACACACACTCACAAGGTAAAACAAGATGACACAAAGTAGACAAACACACACACTCACAGTCGCCCTCACGGTGCGATGAGAATAATAAGGTGCAAATGGAACGGAGGTGAAGTGTAATGGCTGCTCTGATAAAGCCATGCCTCATCTCAGACGGAGAGCAAATCGCAGAGGAAATAGACCCAATCTGCAGGCTGGATGAAGAAGGGCATTACCCAACACACGGAGAAAGAAACTGCTTTACTGGCGACAGCTTAACCTGAGAGTGCAAGGTGACATGAGACAAGAGTCATGGATCAAAACGAGGATTCTGTTAGTGGAGAAATGAGAATGTAACTCTGCATTTTGAGCTATATGCTATATATGTTTAAAGGGGATGTATCTTCAGGCTCATATTTGTATTTTATGCCTCATGTTTCCATGATTTAAAGAGGCCCTATTCTGCTTTTAGTGGTGTTCCCTTTTCCTGTAGTGTGTAATATATGTTTTAGTGCATGTAAATGGTCTTCAAAAGCTAAAATCACTGAGTTTCTCTCCAGTTAACCAATCAGAGCAGACGGGGCTCTGGTTTCAGACAGAGGGTGAAAAGAGGTGCTGTCAGAACGTTAAAGCATGGAAACTGAACATCAGTAAAATAGGGACTCTTTAAAGCTCAAAAAGTACTCCTGACATACTCATTTTACATAGTGGCTAGCTCTGTTGTGATTGGTCAACCGCTTAGAGATGTCCCGCCCCTTAACCTATCACGTACAATTTGTTGAGCGTGAGTGATCCATAGTGATGTCACTGTGTTTCGGAAGTAAACAAAGGACTCTAATGCTGCGTTCACACCGGACGCGATGCGAATATTCGCTTCGCTCTAAACGCTCGAGTTTCACCGCGGCGCAAAACAAGACGCGCTGGCTCGGGGGCTACAACTACAACACAATGAACATATTTGACCGTGATTTAATTACATGTTTCAAAATGATGTCGAAGTAACAACATACTGATACCGGTTAGTAAAAACCATGAATTCATGTTTTGACAAGTCTGCAGACAGATAGCAGAGAAACACCTTTTAAAATGCGTGTTTTCTGAATGGAGATCTGCTAAGCTAACGCAGGATATGTTCCGACCGTCCACACTCACAGCAACGGCCTACAGACATAAATAAACCAGCGACTGTATTCTCCATGACACAGGCAGTCTGTGGTTTGTACTTGTTTAACTTTTTTGTCTAGTTTCTGAACAGATCTGAGGAGCTGTGAGCTCTGAGGGCTAACTGCTTTTCTGGTTGAACGTCAGGCTGAGATCCTCACCGCTGATTGGCTACCGCGAGTCCGCGTCACGCGAATATGACGCTCGTGTTAACTCAAGCGTTTGTTGCGGCCTCCTCAATCGCGCCGCGGAATTTGCTTCAAGCTCGCCGCCGTCTGTCCGCGTCTCTGCATTGACTTTACATGTAATCGCGCCGCCCCCAAACATCGCATGGCGTCCGGAACGCAGCATAATGGTGGGAACTTTTGGATTTTCAGCCTTTTCAGACCATTTACATGCATTAAAACCTATAGGACACGATACAGGACACGGAACACCCCCACACATAATAATAAGGCCTCTTCAAAGCATGGAAACAAAACGTCATGTTTAGCTAAATGTTACAGTTATCTTTCAAGATAATGACGCAGAGATATTGTCGTGTTTAGCCTGCAGTTGACACCACAACACATTTGCAACACCCCCCCCCCCCTCCTCTGAGAGAGGGGGGGGGGGTTTCTGTTGTTCCCCCACTACTTTTTTATTTTTTCTGAAAGTTAAGGATCCTCCGAAGTGATTCCTCACACGTTCAGATCCCTCTGCACTGAGTCCAGCATCTGCAGAGTGACTGGGTTGTTGATGCTAGCTGTCCCCTTGGGTTTCTCTTTCTCTCTATACCTTTCCACTTCTTCTTCCTCCTCCTCCTCTTCCTCCTCCTCCTCTTCCTCTATTCCCCTAACCCCGCACCAGCAGCGCCACAATGTCGGCGCTGTCAGATAAGAACCGTGAAACCATGAGGTCTGCAGCCTCTCTACAGGCTGAACGTAGGTGTGTGTCGGCGAGTAAACCAGGAGGTATTTTATTCAGAAGGTGACCTGTGTCTTACCTCTGGTGCTTCTGTGTTTACATCGTTATTAATTATGCACAGACACACTATAAATACACACTAATGGGATTTAAATACAAAATGTGGGAACAAGGAGGTTCTAATTCTCCTAATCCCTCCATCTTTACTTCTCTTTGATGTACTATGTGTTCTGCTTTGTTGATTCCCTCGATGGACACAATGCAATACATTAATGCATATTAAGCGCATTTCTGTTCAAAGCTACCTCGTTAGTTACCTAGTTTAGGTTACGTCTCAAACGGCTTAAATATAAGGACAATTTAAGCTTGAATCCAAATTCAATCAGCCCGTAAATGTGCCAATTAGCGAACGAACGTCATCCATCTGTCTAGCTAACGTTAGATATTTACTATACAAGCTACCTGACGTTCGTTATCCATCTACCTAGTCATCTAGCTTACATTACCCACCTTTCTAACAAGCTAAAAACAGGCTGTTGTCCTTAATTGACTTGCAGTGTGGACCGGTCTACGTTCAGACAGTGAGAGTCATTATAAAAACACGGGTTTTCTTTAAGCTAACCGGCTGCTCTCTGTAAACTCTCAAATGTGCATTATTTGGGTAAACTAATCACATGTTGGCAGGGGACGTGCACAGGTACGGGCTAATGTTGCCCGGGCAACGGCCCGTTTGGCCTTTTTGGCTGACCTGCCGCTCTGGAGAGAGCGAGAGTTGATAAACCCACAATTAGTATCGTAGCGTCTCGCTGCGGGAAACACACTTTGTCAGCGCTGTCATCTGCCGGCGCGTTAAGACCACCTCAGTGTCGGATTTTGGAAACTTGATTTTGAGTTGTCTCATGGCAGTTAGGGTATAAGGGACAAACCAGGGGACTTTACTTCCTCTTGATACCGTCGGTTATTTACAAACAAACACCTAAATATAGCCTACTTGTTGTTATTGTGCTTCTGTCTTTCTGTGTCTTTTCATCTGTACTCCCTCGCTCGTTCTCTTCTCTTGATCGCCCTCTCACGGGTGAACAGTTCAATGTCCCGCTTCATTGCAGGATTTCTGCCATGTCTCTACTTTAGTTTGACCATCTCTAAGTGATGTAATACTAGATAAATAAGTAATTAGATACCTTACCGTCACTGCGCTCATGAAGAATGATAAGAATAATGCGTATTGAACTGGTTTCACTCATTAGTGAGTTTATTTAAGGTAATTAGTTAGAGGCCCTATTTTATCAGTATGTCTGCTCAGCAGTTAGGTCAAACTACATTAGAACAGAATTGTCCCCATTTTGTCTTTAATAGTTTCTAACATTAGATATTTTAATGAGATGTGGACCGCAAAACAAAGAATGACCCTGGTTTTCATTTTAAAAATCAAGTCACCGAATGCAAGTAGTCGCCTTCGCTTATTTTGTTATATATATAGAATGACTAATTACTAACAAAGAACTGCTAACAGAGCACTTTTATACTAATAAAGGACTGGCTTATCTAAAGCCAGTTGAGTAGCACTTGAAATGTTTGGCTCTATGAAACCTGATGTACTTTATGATTCTGTTGTGTCTTCCTGGTCGAATGTACTTACTGTAAGTCGCTTTGCATAAAAGCTAAATGCTAAATGCTAGGGCCGGGACTCGATTAAAAAAATTAATCTAATTAATTAGAGGCTTTGTAATTAATTAATCAAAATTAATCGCATTTTTAATCACATATAAATATTTGACCTAAGAACAGTGAGAAGCAATTTTTTTCACATGGATTTTAGTATACCATTAGGCGCATTCACACCGCAGTACTTTTCCCACAAAGGTTCATGAGAATTTAGTTCATGAGAACTCTTTGAACCTGGGGGAGGATTAGGCAAATGAAGCCGCTGACGTCACTTCTTCTTCTTCTGCTTTGGGTTTACTGGCAGGCCGCAAACCACTTCACGGCGTATACTGCCGCCCAAAGTCCACTGGCTTCAGTAGAAGCTGCTGGGAGTCCCAGCAGCCTTCCGAGTAAATCGCCAGAACGCCGACACCTCCTCATCTCCACCGCTCCCATGTTTTATTTTGTGTTGCCATAAGTTAGTCTCTCTGCGTTTCTGCGCTGGGCTAATGCTAATAATGCTAATGCGAGGATAATAAAATGGCGGCTTCACAAAACTTTTTGGGAGTTTTACGGGGCGTGGTTTGCAATCCGCCCAGCCAATCAGAAATATAGCTCTTTTCTCACAAGAGAGCCGCACGAAAGTCCCTGCTCTCTAGCAGCTCTCTGCTCTCAAGCAGGGACTTTCATGGGGGTAAAAAGGTTCTCATTAACTAATTTTAGTACCGGCTCTTTTTGGTGTGAACGCGATAAAAGAGGCTAACGTCCACGCTAGCTTCCACGCTAGCTGCTATATGTTTTGCATTGAGGTGATACTTGAGGCTTGATGTGCTGCGGTGATATGCGAATTCCTTTTTGCATAATTTGCACACAACCGTGCTCTTATCGACGCTTCCATCCGTCCGTTTTTTAAAACAACATTTCCCACTGTTGTTCACTGTGGTTTGTTGTTGTCTGAAGTCATGAACGTTAGTTGGTGCTC